AAAAACCAAAAAAAAAAAAAAAGAGTATTATAATACGAGGCCGGGTGGTGGTGGTGGTGGTGGTGGTGGTGCACGCTTTTAATCCCAGCACTCAGGAGGAAGAGGCAGATGGGTCTCTGAATTCAAGGCCAGCCTGGGCTACAGAACAAGTTCCAGGACAGTCAGGGCTATGCAGAGGAACCCTGTCTCAGAAAACCAAAACCAAACCAAAACAAAAACAAAAAACGAACAAACAAAAAAAGACTGTGATATGAGATTCGGAATAAACACGTACTGTAGAATTGTGAGATGATATCATCCAGATTGCTTAATTTACTGAAGAGGGAATCGAAACCCAGAAAAGTTAAGTACCTTGCAGAAGAAAGTCACTCAGCAAGTTAATGAAGGGAAAGGAACTAGAATAGGACCGTGGATGGCACGTTGTATCTACGGCTGTTCTGACTGCAGTGCGTGGGATCAAACCCAGGGCTTCACCTCCCCGCGTCAGGCAAGCACACTCTACTCCTGAGCCCCACCTCACTTGTTTGGTGTGGATTGTGTTGTACTTTCAATTCCTCCCCATTTCCTGTGCTGCTTTTCCTCCAAGTGTCACTTTAGGAAAGAGAAAACCCCATATTAACTGTCCCCTAAGGGGGACACACCGCTCTAATTCTTAGATGGATGACATCTACATCTTGTTTTTTTCCCCGGGGAAGGTGTGTGATGGCACACGTGTAATCCTGGCACTCAAAGCAGAGGCAGGGCCAGGTGGTGGCGCACGCCTTTAATCCCAGCACTTGGGAAGCAGAGGCAGGTGGATCTCTGGGTTCAAGGCCAGCCTCATCTATAAATTGAGTTCCAGGACAGCCAAGACTGTTACAGAGAGAAACTCTGTCTTAAAACCAACAACAATCAAAAAGAAGCAGAGGCAGGAGGATTGCCACAAGGTGGTCTATCCTAGACTACTTAGTAAGACCATCTCTCAAAACAGAAGCAGATAAGTGTAGAAGCCAGATATAAGAGTACACTACTTTAACCCCAGAGGCAGGTAGAGCCCTGTGAGTTCAGCCATTATAGTCTTTTTTTTTTTTTTAAAAAAAAAAAAAAAGAAGATGGCTGTGGTAACATGGGTCTTTAATCCCAGCAGATCCCTGAGTTCAAGGCCAGCCTGGTCTGCAGAATGACTTCTAAAACAGCCAGGGCTATGCCGAGAAACCCTGTTGTGAAAAAACAAACAAACAAACAAAATCTACAAATATTGGTGTTTCTACAAATCTATCAGGTTTTTGTTACAAGTAATAATTATCAAGTACAAGTATTACCCAAGGACACCCACTTCCTTTATCTTTTCCTTATAGACCATATTGATAGCCTCTTGGGACTGTTGCCTCTCCTGGTGTATTTATTTCATACAATTGAATTAAATAATTCAAGAAGTATATAACCAGGTAATTACTTCCCTTTTGTTGCTTGGTTTTTTTCTTGTTTTTTTTCGAGACAGGGTTTCTCTGTGTAGCTTTGCGCCTTTCCTGGAACTCACTCTGTAGCCCAAGCTGCCTCTAACTCACAGAGATCCGCCTGCCCCTGCCTCCCGAGTGCTAGGATTAAAGGCATGCGCCACCACCGCCTGGCTGTTTGCTTGATTTTTGAGACGGTCTCAATATGTAGCCATGGCTGTCCTGGAACTCTTAATATAGACCAGGCTGGCCTCAAAGTCACTTGCCTCTGCCTCCAGGAGGCTGGGATTAAAGAAATGTGTGTGCTACCATTTCAAAAAGATTGGCAACTTTTTATTTACTTCTAAGTACATTGAAATAAAATATGTTCATGTGGAACATGTGGAAAAAAAGAGCTTTGTTGTTTTTAGACAAGGTCTCACTGTGTAGCCCTGGCTGGTCTGGTACAGGATTAAACTCACATAGATTTTGCCTACCTCCAGAGTGCTGGGATTAAAGGCCAGCTTCTTCTTCTTCTTCTTCTTCTTCTTCTTCTTCTTCTTCTTCTTCTTCTTCTTCTTCTTCTTCTTCTTCTTTTTTTGAGACAGTGTGTTATATATTCTAGACTGGCCTCTTGAATTATGTAGTTGTGGATGACCTTGATTTTTGGATCTTGCATCATCTCCCCATATTACAGGTGAACACCCCAACCTGGGTTTATGGAGTACTGGAGGGAAAAAAAAAAACAACAACAGGATTTATAAAGACAAGATCTCATTATGCAGGCCTGGCTGGCTTGGAACCGTCTATGTGGATTAGGCTGGCCTCAAACTCACATAGATCTGCTTGCCGCCGAGTCGCCTAAATGCTGAGATTAAAGTGAGGGTCACTGCTCAACTCTGAAATAATTTTTTGAATTTTGATTCTTTGTATCTATTACACTTCCCCACCAAACAATTGCTGTTTGGTTTAAAATATGTATGCATGATACACAAAACACTGTACACTGTAACCTGATTTACAGGATTACATTTCTCACAATGTACTCAATAATCAAAATTTAACAAAAAGTAAATAATTCAGAAAACATACTTTATTCTACATTGGAATTATTATTATACATTTCCGTAAAATCTTTCTGAAGTGCTCTTTTGATGCAAATAGTCTTAGGCACTTGCGGGCCGGACTTTAATTCTGAGAGGCTAGTGCAATTCATTTGCATTGACTTTCTATTGTAGAGCTTTGGAACCAAGAGAAGGATCCAAACATAGCTCCATTTTATCCAATCAGAAGAGCTGCTTAGTGCTAAACTCTGATTCGTCTATTCCTCTTTGCATCCATCCAATCATGAAGCAATTTTAACAGCCAATCAGTGGCCTAAACACCCGCCAATCAGGAAACAGGCCCGAAGTACGGCCTTTGTGTCGGGAGATGTCAGCGCGTCGGCGAAAGCTCCCGCCAATCGAAAAAGTCGTTGGTGTATGCAAATAAGGGTTCTGTGACGTAGTGACGCAGCGTGAAGCGTCTATATAAAAATGGAGGCGTCGGGGGGCTTGGAGCGCAGAGCGGTTTGGTCGTTCGTTGGAGGAAGGTCTTCCGTTCTACTCGGCGATTGCGGCTCCCGTTTGAGCGCTAACAGCGGCGCGGCGGTCCCAGCAAGGGCCTCAGACCTCGGCTTTGGGTGAGTGCTGGCGGTGACCGGAGGCTCGGTGGCTGGGGACCGCGGGCCTCGGCGCCCGGCCGACCGGCCGGCGGGCGCGGTGAGGCTGCCCGGGAAGTTGGCTTTGACCGTGGGCTTGCGGCCCGTCCGCTCGCCCGCCCCCTCCGTCCTGTCTGCTTCCCGGTGGTGACTCACAGGTCCCGACGCGGTGTTGCCGGCCGCCCGCGGAGCGGGAAGTGGCTCCTCCCCGCGCTGCCCCTCCCGGGGGAGCCGCCGCCGCCGCTCGGCGCAGCCTGAGTCATTAGGGGAGGGGGAGGAGGCGGCGGCGGCTCCCGCCGCCATCTGCTGCCGCGCGGAGGGCGCCGGGCGCAGGGCTTGATCGCTGTTCGCCCCGCAGGTGAGAGAAAATGGCCCGAACCAAGCAGACCGCTCGGAAGTCCACCGGGGGGAAGGCCCCCCGTAAACAGCTGGCCACCAAGGCGGCCCGGAAAAGCGCGCCCTCTACCGGCGGGGTGAAGAAACCCCACCGCTACAGGTAGGCAGGAGCGGGGAACAAAGCCTCGGCCGCCGTCCGCACGGCAGGCAGGGCAGGCAGCAGGCGGGGGCGCGGGCGGCAGGGCGAGCACCCAGGGGCGCCCCGCGCCGCGCCCTTTGACGCCCTCCTCTCTCTGATGATGGCTGCAGGCCCGGGACCGTGGCTCTGCGAGAGATCCGTCGTTACCAGAAATCGACCGAGCTGCTCATCCGGAAGCTGCCGTTCCAGAGGTTGGTGAGGGAGATCGCCCAGGATTTCAAAACCGACCTGAGGTTTCAGAGCGCGGCCATCGGTGCCCTTCAGGTAGGAGAGACAAAGGCTTGCTGGCGCTGGGGGCGGCGGCCGGGTCTCGGCGGCTCGGGAGTTAACGCTGTGTGTGGCTCTCGTCCTCAACAGGAGGCCAGTGAAGCGTACCTGGTGGGGTTGTTTGAAGATACCAATCTGTGTGCCATCCACGCCAAGAGAGTCACCATCATGCCCAAAGACATCCAGTTGGCTCGCCGGATACGGGGGGAGAGAGCTTAAGTCGAGGCGGTTTTTATGGCATTTTGTAGTAAATTCTGTAAAATACTTTGGTTTAATTTGTGACTTTTTTTTTGTAAGAAATTGTTTATAATATGTTGCATTTGTACTTAAGTCATTCCATCTTTCACTCAGGATGAATGGGAAGAGTGACTGTTCACAGACCTCAGTGATGTGAGCACTGTGGCTCGGGAGTGACTAGTTGCTGATATGCAGAAGGGATGGGTGATACTACTTGCTTCTCATGATGCATGTTTCTGTATGTTAATGACTTGTTGGGTAGCTATTAAGGTACTAGAATTGATAAATGTGTACAGGGTCCTTTTGCAATAAAACTGGTTATGACTTGATCCAAGTGTTTAACCATACATCACTGTGATAGAATGTGGGCTTTTTCAAAGGTTGACCATACAAGTTTTAACCACAGTGTAACAGTTTCCTAAAAAAAAAAAGAAAAAAAAGGAAGAAGAAAGTAAACCTGGCAGCTATAGACTACACGATGTGCATTTATAATAGCTATTTTATATATTGTAGTGTTGAACATTTTTAAATTAAATGTTTTACATTCACAAGTGGTGGGGAGTCTTGTCATTAAGGTGTGTGTAATTTAGTCCAGTTGGTATTTCCTGACTAGACTGCATTTGTTTAACAAAGTAGAAAAATGCTATGCGTATTAAACCTTGCATAAGTCCTCATTCTACCACATGTTGACTAACCCTCTGCCCGGTAACACATACACTAACGGGGATTTTATTTATAAGGGCTCTAGAGTAAAATAACAAGTTATTCACACCAGCATCACCTGTTACTAATCTAGTTAGTGAGCTTTTCATTGTGTTGTTTGGTCTTAAACCTAGATTGAGTTTGGTTTTGTTTCTTTTTTAATCTTTAAGGGGGAAAAAACAGTACAAGGTTTGTTTTTTCCTTGTGGAGTTTAAACATGGGGTAAAGAGTACAGCTTCAGCTTATTGGACCTCTGCCAATAAAGAAGGTGGGTTAGGTTACACCTGGTTGCTGTCCTGGCAAAATCCTTTTTATAGAGATGGCCTTCAAGTGGTTTTTAAAAGTATCCTATTGAAGTTTTTAGGTCAATTATGTATGTTGACTAAATTTACAAATAAAACTTGTTTATTCAACTAAGTGTCAAACCTAAATTGAATACACAAAGCTTTTAGTACATCTATTATCTAGATTTCTAATTTCAGTTCTTTGCTTGATGGAAAAAGGAAAATTACAAAAGCATGTAAACAGGCCAATACTCCATAAAAACAGTGAGGGGCTGGAATTGGTAGGGGTTGGGGATTTAGCTCTGTGGTAGAGCGCTTGCTAGGCAAGTGCAAGGCCCTGGGTTCAATCCTCAGCTCCAAAAAAAAAAAAAAAAAAAAAATTTGGTAGAGCATTTGCCTGACTTATAAGAAGTCATGGGTCTGATGACAGAATCCATGGTACTATTGTATTTATGGTGTGTGGGCTTAATGACAGCATATTTATATAGATCTCCCATAGTGTTAGAATCGCTAACACTATGGGAGATCTATATAAATAAGAAACAGCTGGTTTCTTACTTAGTAAGACTGTTCATCTACAGGTAGGTGTATTTTTTTCTGGAGACAGGGTTTCTCTAGTCCTGGCTGTCCTGGAATTCACATCAGGCTGACCTTAGCTCTAAGATCTGCCTGCCTGTGCTGGGATTAAAGGTGTGAGCTACCATTGCTCTCATTGTAAAAATGTTTTCAATAATATACCTGTATATAATTCAGGTATCGCTTTTAACCTCCCATTACTCACTTTTTGGTTGGTTTCTCTGTAAGCCTGGCTGCCCTGGAATTAGCTCTGTAGACCGGCCTGGCCTCCAACTCAGAATCACCTGCCTCTGCCTCCTGAGTGCTGGGATTAAAAGGATGTGCCACCACACACAGCCCCTTTCCAAGTACCCTGCTTTCATGTCTTATGTGACTGAGACTCACTGATAGGCCATCCTTTCAACTAGGGAAGAATGCTAGTGAACACTGGTAAGAGTGTTATCGAGACATGGACCTGAGTCTAGTCCATAAAGCAGTCTAGTGAAGCTACAGTAGCTAAAGAAATGCTGCCTTACTGAAGGGGAGCCCAGACTGGCCAGGAATAGAATTGTATCCACCTCAGCCTCAGAAGTGCTAGGATGGCAAGGTGTGGGCTGCCACAACAGAACTTGAAGTCAGTTTGGATAGTTAGAGATGTTGAGAGTCGAGCTAGAGTGGGAGTAGCTTAGTGGACATGGCATAAGAAAGGACAGTGGTATGGTTCAGTGCAGTGAAAATGGTCGTTCCTGAGTGAGTCAGATGATGTTGGGCTGGGCTGGAAAAGAAGCCCGAGATGTCCGCGAGGATTGGCTTGCAGTATGATGTTGGCTGTTGGAAAGCCTGGAGGCTCCTGTTTGATCTGTGCCTCTTCTTGGGCTTCACAGCCTGGGGGTACACCATTGCTGGTTCTAGACAGCTGCCTATGTAGGATATCCTTGGACTGGGATCTAATAGGGAAAGGTGGGCCGGTGGTGGGGCAGCACACCTTTGATCCCAGCATTGGGAGGCAGAGGCAGGTGGATCTCAGTGAGTTCAAGGCCAGCCTGGGCTACAGACAACCAGGACTACTCAGAGAAACCCTGTTTGGGGGGGCGGGGGAGCAGGGGAGGAAAGTTGATGAAAAGTTTCACAAAATGTTGAGGGAAGCCTTGTGTGTGTGCTGGGGTTTGAACCCCTGGCCTTGTGTGTGCTACATGAGCATGCTACCACTGAGTTAACTCCCCAGGTATGAGAGGCTTGCCTTCTGACTCAGCCAGGCAGGATCATGTGCAGTAGAGAGGGCCAGGTTACAGGGTACAGTTTGCCGCAGACACGTTTATTCCTGTGCCTCTACTGTCCCGTGTGACGAATCCTAGTGAAGGGAGCCTTTGGTGCAGGGACAGATGAACAGAAACGCTGGCTTCAAAGATTCTTGACTCAATGGTTTCTAAAGATGTTTTGTCGGTTAAATTTTGCTAGAAACGTGGTCTCAGTGTCCCAGTAACTGAGAGATGGAAAGGAAGTCTGGAGGGAAGAGGACTGGGTGGGTCAGCTTCTGGCCTACCACTTTTTTTTTCCCCTTGGGTTTTTGAGACAGGGTTTTTCTTTTTCTTTTTT